TGAAGAGTGGCCTGTCCGTCCTGGAAAGGGTTTGTCTCCCTTGGGCCTGTGGGGTGGAGAGTGGCTGCAATGACAGCAAACAGCAAACCACAGTGCTTCCCTGTTCAAGCCCAGTTTCTCCTCTCTGTCCCACTGCCGCTAAACACTGCTGCTGTCCTGCCCCGGTTTGACAGCAGGGAGCTGCGTCAGCCTGCACAGGCTGCAAAGGAACAGGTACAGGTTTATTCTGGCTGAAAACAGAAACACTATTGTAGCGCTCTCGGGCTCACATGGGTATGCGCCCTCGCCGCTGCCACCTCAGCACGGCCCCCCACCGTCGGGAACTCGAACCCGGGCCTCCGGCATCACTCAACAGAGACCCGGCCCATTGAGCTAAAGGCAAATCTCCCCTCAACCCAACAGCTGGGGTCCCTGCTATTCACAGGGAAGGGCGGTGACGTCACCGCACTGGTCAGCCGGCTCACACAACCTGCAGTGGCGGCCGTATGCGTTAAGTGTGTTCCGGCTGTAGAGCCTTCTTCAGGTGTGTCAGGTTTTGCCAGACGGCATGAATGTCCACAGAGTCAAAAGCTGTGCTCAAACCAGTGGTCACCATGTAGAGAGGTTGATGTCATTCCCTTCCTTGCTGAAGCCGCCGTGCTGTAAGATCAGCTCAGCTGTACCTCTGGATGGGCACCGGCCACACTGTGACTCTGGAATATTTCCTCTGACAGGCAGCAGCTGGTTTGCTAGCATGCAGGAGAGTGTTTTGCTGGTTGTGGACAGGAGGGAGATAGCTCTGTAATTCCCACAGTCTGCTTTATCCCCATTTTTAAAAACGGTGAATTTAAAAGCATCCTGAGATCAACAGGGATTTCCCCCTGGCTCATGGATGTGCCCCTGAAGAACTATCCCTCCTTCCCTTGGAATAGAGCTGGAATGCCATCAGCAGAGTCAGATTGGTGTTTCGTCTGAAAGACAGGCTGATCCTCGAGTGATTCTGTGAAAACTTGCTGACATGACAGGCAGAAATCAGTCATTCGAACGTTCACATTTACTGCTCACTGTCAACTCACATTTTGCTAGAAAAGCTGCTAAGTTTTCAGAATTAACCATTCCTCAGAATTTTTTTACCACAGTGTTGATTTCAGCTGTGAAGCTTTTAGCTGTGTTTCCTCAAACAAGTGGTTGTGTTTCTCTGAACCGGACCTGCAGACTGACCCGGCTGTGTCTGGGGGCGGTCCAGTCTGTGAATGCAGTGTCCAGAACCGGACCTGCAGACTG